ATCTGTTTAAATGAATGTACATAAAGGCCTTAGTGACTTTTGGATAATGTAGAAATATTAAGAGATTGTAAATGCTCATTTGGCAACGTGCTGACATTATTACTTTGCAAATTGCTGTATTAAATTTTATTTCACTGGGATATCCTTTTGAGTTGTTATATATATTGTGTGTGTGTGTGTATGTGTATATATGTATATATATGTATAAAATTACAAGCCCAGATGATGAAAACTGTAAGGTTGTTGGACAGGGAACAATATTTTTAATGATCACAGTTTTAATTTTTTTTATTTATTCTCTCTTGTCTAGATGCAGTTTATGTATTGTGTTACTCTTTGATTCTGCTTTCCATTGATCTAACAAGCCCTCACGTGAAGAACAAAATGTCAAAGAGGGAATTCATCCGAAATACACGACGAGCTGCACAGAATATTAGTGAAGATTTTGTAGGGCACCTTTATGACAACATCTACCTTATTGGCCATGTGGCTGCCTAAAAGCACAATTTGCTAGCACTTAAAATTTGTAATTTTCAAAAACTTCATCAAGTCAAGAAATTAATTATTTTGTAGAGATGGGGGTTATTTTAGTGCTGGTCATTCTAACCTCTGTATGCAATCAAAGTTTGTGTGTCTAAGTGTGTGTATGTGTAAACTACCTTTTCTATCTATTTGCTGTGGGAATGGAAGGATTTGGAGATTTGTTTTTCATATTTTTTTTTTTTAGTTTTGCACAAAACAATGCCATTAGTCTGACACAGCCATTTACAAATGTTAAACTGACATTACAGTCTAAGCTGACAAACTGGTGGATTTGTGCATTAGATCTGCTTGAGACTTTAATAAGCTCATTCTTTTTGGAATACCATGTGATGTGTACATATTTAACTAAAGAGATTTATAATCATAATTATTTTATTGTAAAATATTTTAACTAAAATTTCTCCTTTTATCTCTTAAAATAGTGTTGTACTTCTTTCTTTAGCATTTTTTTTACAATGCTGACTACCTCAGGTACATAAGTTAGAGAAACGTTGGTCTGAATACTACAATAAAGTTTATTCTAGGAGTTGACAGAACACATCTAAGCTGATACTTAATACTATATTGACTAACTTGAATTAGCATGTTGCCAATCTGCTCTTCACTCAAGTTTTAAAGACTACAACCTCTATTTTAGATGAACCCTGATGTCCTAGAGGCATAGCCTAGGGAAATCATTCAGTGTACATAGAGAGAGCTAACCTATATTGCAGACACTAGTTATTGGGGACATAGGACAACTACAGTCATCTGTTCAGCACAGAAAAATCTCAACAGGGAAAGTGGTAGTGTTGGCTAAGGTGTTGCTGCTTTCAACTGCTTCCCTGATCAGGAAGTGTCAATGATGGAAATGCCGAGGCAAATATGTACCAGATGACTCATTGCTAAAACTCCTGCAAACTGACGGTGCAAGATTAGAGCAGTGACTGTGCAGAATTGGAGAGCCCTTTCAGACTCTAAATCTGTCATGTAGCTAGATTTTTAAATAGTTGTAGATTTATAAAAATACTTCAAAAATGGTTTTGATCAGATTGTGTCAGGCATTTTCTGAAGTGTGTAGAATGTTAGCAGTGCAATGGCCATGCATGTGCAGGAACTTAGTGAGGATTTGCCTGGATTTTGTCCAGATTACTCATAGAGCAGTGCTTCTCTTACATTGACATAACATGTAGCTGAAATCAGAGCTGTTCCTGATTATGTTTGTTTACATAATATTCAGCTATTGCTAGCATCTGGATTCCTCACGGTAACAAGTAGATTTATCCTTTTTCCCTACCATACTGATTTTTTATGTAGGAAGCCTATGGCAGAGCCAGCAATTGAATGCAGGTTATGCTCATCGTAGGCATGCTCTTTGCCCACATTGCTGCTCCCCGTTTGGCACCTAGTGGGTGTTACATTTGTCATAGATGTGAGAAGAGTGATGACAATGACAGTCCATCTAAGGGCTACATAAATGATGGAGAAAAAAATGTAGTTACTGCTGCTCTTTCAGGTGTTTAATACATTTTGTTTATAGCTCTGGTCCACATGCAAAAATGCACCCAGAAAAAGTTGCATTTTTTTTATTACGTTACCTTTAGTCAAGTGTAAATGACATTTGTATTTGCGTAGCATACACAGACAAAGCCAGGAGCCAGCTCTCTTGTGGCTGTCTTTCAGACGGGTTTTACAGCATGACCCCCCCTCTCACCGGATAACTTCTTATCACTTCACCCTGTGTCATTTCACATATTTTGGAAAGCCCAAGGACGCTCTCCGCAGTGGTCAGTTAATCTCAAACAAGATCAATCTGGTCCTGTAAAAACAAACAAACCCCAGCAGGTTGGAAAACTTTTAATATAATCTGTAAAACCAACAATAAAGGCTGTACTCCTTAAAATGATCATATGTCAAGACTGCAGAATGTGGCTCCTCCTAAGTTACATACTTAAAAAGAAAAATTCAGTGGATTTTGAAATTACAACTAATTTTATCAGGAAATATTTTCTTCTCAAACCAAGAAATGCAAAGCGAGGCCTAATTGTCTTCTGACTCTTATTTATGTTTACATTAGTGATACTGGGTTTGATTTTGCACTGATACAAGAGTAGGAATTGTTAATCTGTGTTTCTCTTAATTTTACGTTACCCTCAGTTCCTGTCACAGATGGAAAACCACAAACAAAGGCTCCAGACAGAACATGTTTTTGCTGGAATAGATGGGTACGTCTATTAACAAAGTTTAGAAAGCTTCAAGGCCAGTGTAACAGCCAAGAAAATCAATTAGAAACAGGTTGATATGGTTGAAGCTTCCATAAGACACAATCCAGAGTAAAAGAAAAAAACAAACAAACAAACAAAACAAACCATAATCACATACAGATAACAGCATCTGATCTTCACAATAGTCAAGATGGTTAGCACCCAACTCATGCTGGACATTGTGTTACTAACTCAGAGTGGAACAGAAAACACGATGTGCAAAGTGTGAATTCCCTTAGAGGTAACCGAGAAACAAAAAATGACAATAGACATTTCTTCTGTCCTTTTTTTCTTCTGAAGTTTGAGTCTTTCGCCAGAGTAGCAGAGAAGTAGTTTTTTGCGTTTTAAGAATCTAGACTTTTCATGAAGTTAGACAATTTTCTGTCTTAAAAAAAAAAAAAAATCATAGGTAGGTGTAACAATACTCCTACAAAGTGAGAAAGATAAAGTTTGAATTCTCCTAGTCATCCTCCAAACACCCTCTAAAAACTAAGTTTTGGGCAGTGTCTTCTTCAGTGCACTACTGACATCTTCATGTACATTTTAAAAGAAAATAGTGATAGATACTTCATTGATCCAGGTGTCACAAAATGGTGCGATGTGGAACTAGCTACTTGATCAGGTACTTCCAAAGACGTAGAGGATCCCAAGCCTAATTACGTGAGCATGGTCATACTTGTAACTGTCAAGTGATTCCTGAGCTATTGCGATTCCACCACTGCATGTCCTTTGGCCTTTGGCCATATGATGTAACCTTCACACTGGTGTGCGGCACAGAAGGAAGAAATGAGCCAGTAGCCCATCCCCCTGCAAACGCTAGTTAATCTGGTCCTAAAAGACGCTGAAGTTGTGCTCTGCATGGCCATTTCTGAAATTTTGCTAACTTCGGTATACACAGATGTGCCAGAAGGACAACTGTTCTTTGTTCATGTAGGGGAAATGAGTGCACTTGTGTCCATGTAAAGTGTCACATAATACAGCTGATTTTTGCCGGTATTAAATTCTGAGACGTCATTGCATTTATTCAAGGAATACGGCATGTATTACATATTCGTGTGGTTTAGTGTCTGATACTCTACATTTTCTCAAAACTCTATTTCTGCCTTGAATACTTCACAATCGTGCTCTAAACAGCAGATTTATACAGCTTTGGCTTTTTAAAATAAATCAAAGCTTCTTCAACATACAAAAGCCCAAACAACTGTAAGTTAGACACATTTGTGTGACACAAGTTTGTCAATTTTGAAGTGGGCAAGATCAGGGAAAAAAAAATAATTTTGTTCTCTTCAACCTTTCCCTCCCACTCCCCACACTGGAAAAAGAAAAAATATATGTTCAAAATACAGATTTAGGAAAATAAACTCTCTAGCTGGGCAAATAAATGTTACTATTTCTTCTTCAGTATACTGCAGTTTACCAATGTTCTTTGCATAAACAAATTTATTAACAGGAATTACTCTTTTTTTGAAGTGGTGATAATTTTGTTCTTTGTGTGAGGTTGTCATTGTGTAACCTGATATTTTTTATAGTTCTGGTTTTGGAAAACAAGTATTAAATTATTTTAACTACTTAAGCAAAATTGAGCAATACCTACTTGATCATGTTTAAATGTCAAAATATTAAATATTTTTAAAAGTCAGATTTACTTGCCATATATTGGATTGGGAATTTTTTTTCTTTTCACATATTACATGTAAGTATCAAAACTAATAAACATTAAGGCTAATGACTTGTTCTCTGCCGTTGTAAAATCTACCACTCTAATCTCAAAAGTACTATTAAAATAGACAAAGGACAGACTTAAAGGATTTCCTGTGTCTCCCATAGGCACATTATGGTTTAATTTTGCCTTAAAGAGAAATAATATACAAACTTTTATAATCTACATAGAGTAGTGATTTTAGTAAGATAAAATTTTATGTGATTTTCTAATATTGTTTATCAGATGTTAAAAGTTAGGATTTACCATACGATGTGTAATTAAATCATAACCAGATAGCTAGGATTTGTTAGAGAAATGAATATGTATGTAAAAAAGCTTCAAAGAGATCACATTGCTCCTTCAGATGCTTCAGTGCTGTTGCTTACAATGATGTTGGTAAATTTACAGTTTTCCTTTCTTATTCATATAAATAAGCTTAGAGAAGAGGTGGATTAGAAAATTATTTACACAAAATACTTCCATTCCCTATCTGAAATTGTCTTACATTAAAAAGGAGGTTTCCGTATTTGCTTTATAATTTAGAAAATAAAAAACTTACAATTCACTGACAGAATGAAGAGGCTCTAATTTTGATATATGTTGTTCATTCATATCACCTAAAACAGCAAATGAGCAAAAAGCACTTTTCACATTTCTTGCAATCCAAGAAATGCATTATTTTTTAAACTTAAAAATACTACTTATTGAGTATGTGAAGAAAACAGAAATGGAGCGTATTTATGTGAAAGCAACATGGTCAGGATACCAGTTCTTTTCAGAGAGAGTATTCATTTGTAAAAGTTAGCTTTCTTCTTGGCAGTGTTGGAGAGGAATGTTGGATTTAATTTAAAATGATTAATGAGATTTTGTCAGACTCCCTGCCTTTACTACCGCTGCAGTTTGTCAGCACAACAACCTGGGAAACCCGGACGCCACTCTGTCGCCCAAAACAGCTTTCCAGGAAAAAATAAACCTGAGTAACTAGTGCCAGGTACATGTCAATAGTATTGTCTTTCAGCTGTTGAAAGTTTAACTCTAAGTTGGGACATTTACACATTCTGAGGAAGTGAACCTCATTCATTATTTCAGTAGTCTGGTTTTGGCAGTGGATACCAATATAAACTTAAGTTTTCAGAGCAGGCATAGCCTTTATTATTAAACTTACGGAAAATCCTATAATCCATGCAGCTGAGAAATTCTTTAAAAGGAAAAAAAAAAAAAAAATCAAAGCTTGTTCAGGTAAGTTTTTCTGGAGAAAGACCATCTATGCAACCTGTCTCCTTTTTTGGCTGTATTCCGTTAGGAGGATCTCATTGTCTGAGCCCTACGCATGCAAACAGGCGGCCGAGTGGCCAAGAATGTTCTGTTGGACTCGAGGCACACACATCCATGTGCACATGTATGCCAATAGCCAAAACCTAACAAGTTGGCAATATTTTTCATGCATGACCATAATGTAAGAAAATGAGCAATT